AACTCATTGTGTAAATGAGCCCAAAAATGGACAAAGAGGATTTTTATACGTTCAGAGCAATTCTCTCTCACCCCCCCTCCCTTCCTGGCTCAAGATGCCTGGGTCAGCCAAAATTATAGCCTCCAAATGTTTCATGATGATATGAGAAAGGAAGTTCTTAAGTGAACAGGTGGTAAATACAATAAGATAGAATGTCAAAGTGTAAATTGAAATTACAGATCCAGGATAGGTGTGTTTCTTTTATAACATAGTGTATGTCCATAAAATACCAAGATAAGAAAAGTCCCACTATTCAAAACAGTGTCCGGTCCCAGGCATCCTGTCCTTGGTGGCCGTAAACAGGAAGAATGCTGGTCAGCGTCATCTGGTGCTGTCGTCGCTGACACAGGAAGGGCCTTTTTGTGTTCACTCAGAAAACAAAGAAAAGCATGTCCCGGGCACACAAATCATTATGAGAGACGAAGCCCAGAGTGGGCCAAAATGTCTCTCCTGACTGGCTAATCCAGGTTTTAGGCCTTTCTCAGGTTTTGGAGTTCAAAATGGTTTGGGGAGAGGTCTACATATTGTGTTTCCTTACTTCATCCTATAAAATGTTCATTTGTCCTGAAATGATTTGCAAGTTCTGCTTTTCCCTTTCAAAATGTTAGTATTTTATGCTCTCATCAGCCACATGCTCATCTCAATGTGATCTTCTGTAATCTGAGCACCCCCTAGCCGCTGTGCACGCACAGTATTTATTCCTACGATCTATCATCACTTCTATCCCCAACACCTTTTACCCTAACTGACTAGAGCCTTACTAATTACAATTCTGCCAAAATACAGTTTTGAACTTATTTTCACTTCCACTGACTTCAACACAAGTTTTACTGTGTTTTAATTTGCTTAAACAATTGACTTAGCCTGCAATAGTTGCATTACATTTCACTTACCTGCAGTTGTTTCCTGATCTCAAAACAAGCTTGTCTCTTTCTGGGAGCACTTTGGAGTTCACCATTACTCTGGGAGTCCCAATCAGGACTCGCTTGGTGACCTCTTGTTCATAAGCAACACAAGGGTAAATGAATCCACCTCTGCTGACTTTTGTTCTTTTCTGAAGATGGTCTAAAATTTCCTTGTTCTGCCTTCTAATAAGAACAATTCCTTCCCACAATAAACTTGTTCTAACCTTAAGTACAGTTTTTAAACATACCTTTTCTTCTACTCTAACATTAAACCCATTTCGCAGATTGGTACCCCAAAACTGCAGACTTACAGAGACTGGCTAGCTGAAACTTCTTCAGTCTTAGCAAATGTGTTTCTTTTTAAATTCTGAGTTGTGAAATGATTTAAGCTCACAAGAGTTTTGTTCTAATTCCTCCTATACTGCTTCCTAAGTTTTTCTTACTTTAACACTTCCCTGAAGCCCTATTTCACTGAATTTCTCCTGAACATCAATCAATCCCTAGTCATTTTAAAGGTCCCTTTATTGAATACCTGATCTGTGAATTTTTTTGTTTGCATAAAATTCTACAGAGTTTGCTAGTGTGCCATAAGTTCATCAAAATGCTTTATAAAGACATCCAAATTACAATTTAGAAATGAAAGAAATTAATGAGTCCTTTTCACAATTTGGTTTCCAATCAGTTTTTTCTATCATAATTTCCAATTAATTTTCTGTGTTTATCTTTTATCTCAGCAACCTCCAACATTGACAGTGTCAGAAACAAAGAGCAAGAGAGATTTGCCTTCTCTTAAGACTTTTTGAAAGTTGTTTTTTTTTTTAAATAACTCCTATTCTTTTTTTTTTTTTTTTGGTGAGGCAATTGGGGTTAAGGGACTTGCCCAGAGTCACACAGCTAGTGAGTGTCATATGTCTGAGGCTGGATTTGAACTCAGGTCCTCCTGAGGCTGGTGCTTTATCCACTGTGCTCCCTAGCTGTCCCCAAAAGTTTATTTTTTACAGCCTGTTTCCTTTAGTTGATCACACCAAAAGAAAAGGCACAGGTTGAGAGAAATAATTATTAATAACCAATATTTTGTGGAGATTCAGAGCTCTCCCCTTCTTCCAAATTCCTGGTTTTAAAAAGGTCAGTCTCTTGAAGGACAGTACTGATAATGAGATTGAATTAAAGCTTCTCCATCTTGGTCAGACCCCACCCAACCTTACAAGGAAATATACCCCACTGTGTTCTACTCAGGTTACTTGGGTGGAGACAGATCCTTTTGTAGATAGCCCAAGGCTGGGGGTGGTCTGAGTATAGAGATATTTTCTCTGTCCAAGGGTGACATGGTGTCACTCTCAGCCCCTCATTGAACACCTACTACTCTTTGAAGGGTATATAAACCTGAGCCTACCATCAGGATTGTCTTTGGTCTAAGAAAGACAGCCAAATGACCATCCTTTTACAAATAACCTGCTGGCCTTTGTCAACCTGAAAGCTGGTTAAAGAGACAACAAGGTAGGTGATAAGTAAATCCATATTGTTTATTCCCTTAAATTAGCAACATGTACATGGAGCCAGAGCTTTTAACTCTGACTGAATCAAGCAATTTTAGGAGGACATTTAAACCCTAACTCAGGATGTCTGTGTTCCTCAGATTTGTGGTCCTCATATATGTTTAACCATAGCATGAGAAAGGAATTTTCTTAATTGAATAGGTTGTAAATACAATCAGATAGGAGAATGTCAAAGTGTAAATCATAGATCCAGGATATCTATGTTTCCTTTACCATTAACATGATACAATATAACATATGTCCATAAAATACCAAGAGAAGAAAAGTCCCCTTATTCAAGGTAGTGTCTGGGTTAAAGGTGCCTTAGTGGTCATAAACAGAAGAATACTCTTGGTCAGCTTCAGCTGTCGACACAGGAAGGGGCGTTCTCAGTTCACTCAGGAAGAAAAGATCAGTTCAGGTTTTTGGCCCTTATTGGGGCTCGATTGATCTTAAATGATTATCACCTTATTAACAAAATGATTACATTTCCCAAAATTATGTCTCTCAAACCTTTTTAATCATTACAAGGTAAAACACCTGGTAGCTACGTGTCACCACAAAGCACAGAGAGTATAATACAGGCACAATAGTCCCTTGTACAAGTAGGCCCTTTTAGGAGCTGCAGACCTGTCCCATAGTTTTATTCTTAGTTTCTCCAATGTAGAAAGAAAGGAGAAGTTACAGCTGTCAAGGTGACCTGCTTTCTAGTGGTACAAATCACTCTGCCTTTCTTACCTTCTTCAATAGGAACTTTTTCTTTTTCTTCAGCTAAAAACTACAGTACACAGTCGACTTTAAATCCACAAGGAAATAGGTATGCTTTAGCCAAATCTCCCTCCCTAGTTTCCCCTGAAAGCTAAGTCCCAACAGAGACTGGGTAAGACTGAAAAGTTTCAAACATTGTGAAGATGAAGGTTTAGTAATATCAATGGCTCTTTCTGCCCTAGACTGGTTCTGGGAGATTACTCAATAAAATTCCATAACTTTCTAAGGAATCCAAAGTTCCATGCTTTGGTCAAAACAGTCCCCTGAACTCTGTATTGCTAAACCCAAGGCTTGCATGGCTCACCTTCTACCTTCTCTTAGTTATCCTTTGCTGGACAGAGAACTCACCATTGTCCCCAAAATTTGAAATCCTCTGTCCCCTCAGCTCCTGAGTAGGACTTTTAAGTCATAGTGGTTTTTTTCCTGCTTTGAAATCTCTCTCTGAGAATGTGAAGAGGCAGAAGGGCTCATTTTACAAGTGTTGAGGTCTGAGAGGTTTCGAGACCCCTCAAGGACTGGAGTACAGGACGGGGTCATCTGGAATGAATTCACAAACTCAAGCATTCTTTAAGTCAAGATTTATTGTTATGCTATACAGCAGGCAGAGGTTCTCAAGGAATTCTGCCATGGTGGGCAGAGCTCCTTAGGGAACTTGGAAGCTAACGGGAATGACACTAAAGCTTATAGAGGAAAAGTAGTGAATTATGTGGCAAGTATGCTAATCAGGTGGTAACATACAATGACATCTTGGGGGTTTCCTAAGGGGGGTGGTTTTGGTCTGTTACGTCTGTAACAAGATAGTTTCAGGAGTTGACGTCCATAGCTTGACCTCTGGATTGTATACAGTAACTGTGGGCATCAGTCCTTGATAGTTCTGCTGGTACAAGATAGTCCTGTTCATACGAGGGAAATTCTACAGCGGTCAGCTTGTTCTTCTAACAGGGAGAGATGGTTTGCCTCTCTGGGACCACTCATGAGTCACTGCCAGAGAGAGGGTCCTTGGGCTGGAGGGAAACTGTCAGGGGTAGTGTGTCTGAGGCTAGGGAGAAATATGGTCTTGGAAGTGGGGTCTGAGTACAAGCACCCCATCACAAGCACCTGTAATACCTGCTGGGGACCCAGGTGTCCTGACTCCCTGGCCTCAGCCCTCCCAGAGCACCCACTTGTCTCCCAGTGAGAGATTGTCCCTTACAGAGGCACAGACCCTACTAGTGTGTAAATGTTTCCAGCTTGGAGGAGGAAACCACATTGGGGTGGGTAAGCCTGGGGTCCAGGCTGCAGGGAGGACGGGGACACCTGCCTGGTGAAGGAGGGATGGGGGGAGGGGAATCGGGAGGGAGGGAGGGTCTGGGTGTCCTAGCTTGGAAGAAGATGAGTGCAGCAGGGGGGCAGCTGGAAGAAGGGCAGGAGAGTCTGCTGAGGAGGAGAGTCTGAGTCCCAGAGCAGGGGGAGGGAGGGAGGTTGTGGGAGGAGGACTTTCACAGCTTAGTGGGTGGAGGCCCAGGTGGAATTTGAGCCCTGGGGTGGAGTTTGGAGGCTTGGGAGGAGTGGCCAAGGCATTCCATGTGATGGAGGGCAGGGCTTGGGGAGGGGAGGCAGGCAGGGTCTGAGGACCTACTCTAAGAGCCATTGGAGGAAAGGGAAGATCCTGAAGTCTGGGCTGGACTGGGGAGGGCGGGGCTCTTGGGACTGGAAGGACCCGCCCACAGTGGGCTGGCTGGCTGGCAGCAGAAGACTGAAAAGAGCTCTGAGCTCTGATCGAGCTGCTTTCTTCCCTTTCAGCTGGTTTACTCTGTCTTCCCTTGGAGCTGAGATCTCTCTGCCTTCCTCCATAGGAGCTGAGATCGCTGTGCCTTCCGGAAGCCAGCTCTGTGCATGCAGGTCCCAGGTAGGTCTGAGCCAGGAAGCAGTGAGGCCCTCGCCTTCTGCTGGCAGAACTTTCCTTTTCGTCTCTTCCTCCTCGTCTGCCCTCATGCTGTGTCTTCCAGGCCACCAAGAGCCCTCCTCGTTCCCAAGGCTGGCTCCCCGTCACATCCCAAACATCCTGGGGTTTCATCCCCAGCTTCACCATTGAGTCACACTTGCCCAGCCTTCAGACCTCCCCCTAGACACCCAGGACTACTGCCTTTTTCCTTCCCATCAGGACCCATTGTCCTGTCCTACCCCCAGCTCCTGTTCAGAGATTTGGCTGTCTTACCAGCAGCCCTAGCTCCCTATAAGCAGCCAGGAGTCCTGCCTCCTTGCCCCCAGGACCTACCCAGGACCCAGGCACCAAAGCTTCTGCCTGGCCTCCCTTACCTGGACCTGTGGCTCTCCAGCCAGTTCCCTCTCAGATCCCAGCCATTGGGTCCCTGTCTCCAGTTCCCCTCCAGGGACCCAGAGAAGCAGCCTCCAAGCCTAAGCTCCAGAGAGGGCCCAGGAGCCCTCCCCAGCTCCTGGTAGACCCAGGATACAGTCATTCTTCTTTCCCAGGCTCAGCTGCCCCCTGGAACCCTTCTGTCACTCAGATGTCCCCTCTCCTCTCCCCCAGCTTTGGTACAGTGTCTGCCTCCCAGAGCCTCCCTTACCCTGGCCTCCTGCTTCGCTGGAATGGGGCAAAAAAGGAGCTGGAGAGAGAGGGGAGTAGTCTTCCTGTTCAGACCACCTTCATTTCCAAATCTGATCCTCCCTGTGCAAGTTGAAATGTGTGCCCAGGGCCAAAGTCTTTGTTATCGCTGCGGGACCTCACCCTCTGTAAATCCCCTTAGGTCAACCTCCTGCCCTGGGAGCCTTCAGCCTCCCCAGTTCAGCCTGCAGACCGCCAAGGCCTGGCCCAAGCAGGGAGCCTGGAGCTAGAAGGGAATGGCCTGGATTCTGGAGATCCCCAGCCCAGGTGAGTGCACTCTGTCCAAAGACTTGACCAAGATGAGCCAGCTTGGGCATTTCAGTAGGCAAAGAGGATCGTCCTTCAGGCTGGCAACACCTCACCTATGCATTGTTTCTTTACAGAAGTAGATATGAAGTGGAATGCAGGAGTAACAACACTGCCCTGCTGTCTCCTGCCTTTTCAACTGATTCATTGGTGCTGGGGCATCACAAGCTCCCCTCACCCAAATCGCTGCCTTCTGTATGTGTTATCCCTCACTACAACTGACTGCCAGGAAGGACCCCCTCACTCACTCATCTCTATTCCATAGGGATCAGTTCTTTTTGCAGGCCTACCACACACACACACACACACACACACACACATACACATACGCACACTCACATATACACATACACACACTCACATATGCACACACATACATACACTCACACACACATACACATACATACACTCACATATACACATACACACTGATAATCATTTAAGATCAATTGAGCCCCAATAAGGGCCAAAAATCTGAATTAATCTTTTCTCCTTGAGTGAACTGAGAATGCCCCTTTCCATGTCGACAGCTAAAGCTGACCAAGAGCGTTCTTCTGTTTATGGCCACTAAGGTGCCTTAACCCAGATACTACCTTAAAAAATGGGACTTTTCTTATCTTGATATTCCATGGCAGTAAAGAAAACATAGATATCCTGGATCTGACATTTGACATTCTCCTATCTGATTGTATTTACAACCTATTCAATTAAGAAAATTTCTTTCTCATGCTCTGGTTAAACACATATGGAGTCCATAAATCATGCAAAGGCATGAAATGTTTTGTTGATGACACATGAGACCCAGAGCCACCTCCAGCCCTCAATATAACAAGAGATAGCTCTTTTTCTCTTGACTAGAAACAGTCTCCCACCACTTAGTTCAGTCCAGGTTGTGATTGTTACCTCTCAAGAATCCTCTTCATGTTTTCATCTGGATTTCAGGCCCTCAGGAAACAAACTAGATCTTTTCTTCTTCTTTGCTCTCTCTTCAGTGATCCCAGGAAACTCTCCCCCTAATCACGCCCTGAGAATATACAACACCTTCTGGCATCTCACCAACTCTTCGTGGAACTTTTCTTATAACATATCACTTACACTTGTCCTGATGAAGGAGTTTCCCATCACCTTCTCTTGTCCTCCAGAAATCCTAACACACCTCTGATAGATCACATAACTTCTCCGATTCCATAGAGAGAACCATCCATATTAACACATGCTCCATTTTATTCCAGCTGCAAATATAAAAAAGCTTTTGTTAATATTCCATTGAGTTTTTCATGGCTGTGATTCTAAGTGTTGGCTCTGACACTCGTAAGGGTGTGATCTTTGAGTAAATCTCCTCTCTGTGCTTCAGTTTCCTCCTGTAAATTGATGGGCATTGGACTAGATCAATTCTGAAGTCTCATTCAGCTCTACATCCTGTGACTTTTGATGGTTTAGGAGTTGGTGACATTCCAGGATGTGGCTGTGGACTTCACCCAAGAGGAGTGGGGCCTCTTGGACCCTCCTCAGAAGGAGCTGTACAAGGAGGTCATGCTGGAGAATGCCCAGAACCTGCTGTCCCTGGGTAAGAACCACTTCCCCTAAAACTATGAATCAACCATCCAAGGAACTGCCTTCATTCCCTCCCACATGTGCAGGGTTTGGAGCATTTATCAATGATTAGAAAGGCCAAGTGCTGATTTCTTGTGTCCAAGAGACAGGTTCTCCTGCTGCCTGGTTTTCCTGGAAAAGGTCTTTACATCATATGCGTGGGAGCTGGGACTTTCTTTTCTTGCCCCTGAAGCTGCCTCTTACTGGTTGTAGGGAGCCTGAGGTCAAAGATCGAACCGGTGTTGTAGAATCTCAGACTTGGAAGTCATCCCAGAGGTTGCACGTAGTCTCACTGAACAGGAATTGTTTTTCTGCCAAATCTTTGAAAACTGCTCAGGCAGCTTTTCCTTGGAGGTGGGCAGTGAAGGAAGCCCCTTCCTCCCAAAGCAGCCTCTTCCCCCTTGGGTTAGGTCGGGTCTTTGGAAGGCTCTTATTGACCAGCATAGATTTGTAGCTCACAGCTCCTAGTCTTACCCTCAGAAGCCTGCTGTACCAAGTGTGTCTTTGTTCTCCCTTTTGACCGTCCCAGAATTCCAGCACAAATGGTGGGAGAGGAAGGGAAGGAAATAAGCACTTATGTATACCTACTATGTGCCAGGTACTACGCTAAGAGCTTTCTTTAAAATTATATTGTAATCTGACCCTCACAACAAGTGTGTGAGTTAGATGATATTATTATCCTCATTTTGTAGTTGAAGAAACTAAGGCAAACAGAGTTTATGGGCCTTGCCTCAGGTACTTAGGTGATAACTGTCTGAGACTAGTTTTGAAATCAGAGCTTGCTGAATCCAGGCCCAAGGCTCTCTGCACTGTACCACCAGCTGCCTCTTAAATTCTAGATAATGGAATCTGTGGAATCAGCCCATTCTTCTATGAAGGATGTAGAGAAAACAGAATTTTTTAATTCCAAATGATCTTCCCATCCCCAACCAAAGCTCCCAACAATAGATACCCCGAAAACAAGCCTTAAGGAGTCCTGGGAACCATCTGGTGGCCCTCCCTACAAGCCCCCTTTTCCTGAAGTGAACTCAATTACAAGTGTCTTTCCATCCTCATCCCTTCCTTATTTTTCATGCCTAGGTATTCCAGTTCCCAAAAAAAGTTTGATCTCCCATTTCGAGCAAAGGGAAGGACCATGGATACTGGCGAGGGAAGACCCAAGACACTCTTGTCCAGGTGAGTTAAATGAAAGCAGGTGTATGAAGGCTGTTGTCACAAGAAGTAGCTACATGTCACAGAGAAGGGTATGTTAGACTTGGGGGCAGGAAGACCTGACCTGCCAATCTTTTTCATATACTTTTTGACAGTGGTATCCTGGGCAAGTCACTGAACTTTTCAGCCTCAGTTTACCTGTCAGTGAAATGGAGGGGTTGAACTCTATGCCCCTTTACTTCCCTTCCAGTGATAAAACTATGATCCTTGAAGATCCATTGCTTGGAACTTTGGGTCATGGAGCTCCCCTGGAAGATATCCAAAAACCATTATTTAATACAAGCTCTCTTCTAGACTCTTTTCAAGTTAACAACCATTCATTAGGTGTCTACTATGTGCCAGGCCCCAGATTATTCATAGAAAGAAAAGGTACATTCTCAGCTGTCAAGGAGCTCACAGACAGTGGGGAGAGACAACAAGGACAGAAGTATGTAAAATATACCCCATACAGATTAGATTGGAGCTAGTCAAGGGAGGGAAGGCACTTAGATTAAGGAGGATTGGAAAAGCATCATTGTGGAGGGTGGGCTTTGGCTGGGGCCTCAGAGAAGCCAGGGGGAGCATTCTAGGCATGAGGGGCAGCCAGGGAAAGCCCATGGAGACTGAAGATGGTGTGTCCTGTTCAAGGTACAGAAAGGAGGCCTTTGCTACTGGATTATATGTGGAGGGGGAGTAAGATGAAAGAAGACTTGAAAGGGAGGAGAGGGGCAGCTGATGAAGGCCTCTAAGAGCCCAGCAGAGGATTTTATATGTCATCTTGGTGCTTATGTGAGCTTTAGGAAGATGAACTTGACAGCTGGGTAGAGCATTGACTGATCTAGGGAGACCCTTGAGGCAGTGAGACCAAACAGCTGGCTTTTTCAATACCACAGGTGTGAGGTTATTGGAGTCTGAACCTAGAAGGTGGCTGTGTTGGGAGAGAAGGGATGGGGGATGTATGTGAGAGATGTTACAAAGGTGGAATCAACAGGACTTTTCATAAGGTTGAAGATGGAGGGGACAGAAGATGGTATGAGTGTGAGAGATGGTGGGCAGTGGATGACGTCTCTTTTATGAGCCTGGACGATCGGGAGGGTGACCTGGATAGTGTTAGGAGAATAGGAAGATGGGAGGGTTGGAGGAAAGATAATGAGGTTAGTTTTGGACGTGGTAGGAGGAGAACCCAAAGAGAGGAGTATCACCAAAACCTAGCGAGAAGAGAGTATCAAGGAATGGCGTGCGGTGACAGTGTCAGGAGAGGGGGGGTAGGTGGATGAGGATTTTGATTTACCAATTAGAAGATCATTGGTAAGTTTGGAGAGAGGAGATTTAGTTGAACAGTAAAGTTCAGAGCCAGACTGCAGAGTTTAGTAGAAAGTAAGAGTGAAGGAATTGGAGACCCCAAGTGGAAATGGTCACCTGTAGGTGTTTCACTGTGAAACAGAGCGGAGATGTAGAACAATGTCCACTGGGAGTGGATGGATCCGATGAGGCTTGTTTGAGGACTGGGGAGAAATGGTTTCATTTGTGGCAGTTGGGAAGAAATCAATAGAAATGGAGAGATTGCAAACTAGTGAGAAAGTGGAGATGCTGGAGTAGGTTCTGTGATGGAGGAATAGATGGGATGGAGTGGGATCATTGGGGCATATCTGCCTCATCGTTCAGGAGGGCCCCCTCATGTGAGACTGGGGTAAAGGAGGAAAAAAAAAGCATCTGACCTATGTGAGATGAGGAGGAGGTAAACGTCCAATTGTTTTACTGAATTATGAGGCCAGGTTCTATGGTGAGAGGGCTGGGGGAAGGGAGCGAGCCATATGGGAGGGTTGGGAAGGAATGAAAAGATTTGGAAAAGCTGCCGTGTTGAGTGGGATAGGAAGTCAGTTAGAGAGATGTAAAAGGATTGCCTTGCCACAGTTGGGGCCCAGCTGAGATGATGTTCCCTAAATTTATAGTGAATCCAGGCAACCTGGTTTCATTCAGCATTATGTGAGTAGGAATGAAGGCCACAAGACTTAAGATTATAATGAGAGGTAATACAAGGGTTGTTTCCATAGAATGGTTGTGATGGTCCATGATGGTTTCAAGACGGCTTGTAATGTGCTCATGGTTTTCCAAAAGCCTTCCAGCTGTGCAAAGAGGTAACATCTTGATCTGGTGATTACGCTGCTGATGAGATGTGCTTACAAAATAACCTGGGAATTACTCTGGTGCAGTGACAGAAAACAAGTGACCATAAGTGCATGCCTGTGACCATCCATTGGGAATTGATTTGCACTCAACCCTTTCTGGCTGTTGGGAAACAATTTGATGTCAGGTTGAGAACCTGAAGGAACATGTTGGGCTCAGTCAGACATGGTCAGAGTGTGATGTAGTCACTGCCTGATCTTGAGAAGCATTGTATGCTTGGTTCTGACAGTGTGGAGTCACTGCAGGAAGAAAGCTATTACGCTTGAAATGAACATGCTTGGCAGCTCCAGAGGAAAATATTTAGATATTTACATTTATTTTATTTTTATTTAAAAATATTTATAACAAAATTCGGCAATTCTTTTCTGCTCAAGGTTCTATTAAATAATTTTTAGGTCAAACCCCTTAGACCATTACTGTGAAGCCCCAAAGGGTTTATCAGCCACCAAATGACTAGGGTTACCATAGGACCAAGAGTGAAGCAGGCTGTTCACTTCCTGACGGAAGAGTGACAGACTTAAGGTGAAGTATAAGACATAACGTTTTTGGACATAGGAAATGGATGGATTCTTTTTATTATGTTTATTACAAGGATTGTGGCTTCTCCTTTTCTAATGAGGGAGCAGAAGCACTCAAAGATAAAAATTTAAAAAGAAAAAGATAATAGCTGTCCTAAAAAAAGTGATGGGCCAGAACCAAATACAGTATGCTTCAGGTGAATTAGAAAAATAGAAATGGAAAAAAACTCCAAGGCTGGCAATCCTAATGTTATCTTAGCCATGAGAGTAACAACAACAAAAAGATAAAAGGGATCACCAGGGAAATTCACTTATTCTTCTAGACATAAGAGATAATGAAGTAATATGAATATTTGGTATATGTGCTACAAATGGCACATCTATGGATTTGAATATAATATAAGAAAAGCTGGATACAATATTGAAAATTGCTACACAAGAACACAACTATTTCTTAGCTTAGCATATGAAATTTACAGAGAATAACTGTGATAATGCATCAGAACTGGTCAATAAAGAGGAACCAGAAGCGGCAGAACCCAATGAAAGTATAAACAGCTGGCATTTGAAGAAAGGATTGAAAGTACAATGGAGTCCCTAGAAGGGGTCCCTCTCCTGGGATAGGGGAGAAGCTGGGCTGGGGTTGCATGTCTCCCAGGACGGTGGTGTTCTTGCCTCTGTGTGGTCTCCAAAGTTCTGGGGTCCTTGGTGTTTAGGGGTGTTGCTATGGAGACCAGCAGTTACCAGGATACCTCTGGGAGAGGACAAGGGTCTTAGAGACCCTCAGTCAGATTTCCTGCCCCCTTCAGTATCCTACAGAGCCAGAGGGACACCTCCTGGACCTGCATCATCTCTGCCCATGGCTGGGATCCACCTCCCCCCCGATCAGTTTTAGGCTGCTTGTCTGATTATGGAGAGTGAAGAAAACATGAAATCATGCCATGGCTGCTTAGGAGCTGTGTACCTTACCTGAGCTCAGGCAAAGGTCTAAGATTTCTTTACTTAAAGGCATCCTTACACCAAAAGTATGACATCTACAGTCAATGCAGAGAAACAGAGTTTTAATCTCTGGGAATCCCCCAAAATAAGCTGACAGCCACTGAAGGACCACAATATAGAGAGATACATAATCATTAAGAAGGAAAATAATCACTAGGAGACTGGGCTGGAACTTATTGCTGCCAGGATCATGTCTAAGTTCTGATACTTGGCAGTGATCGCCTTCTATTCCAGGGTGAGATAGTGGTCTGCTCCCTACAACAATAGCTTAGCGATGCCTTCCCAAAGAAACTTTCTAACAACTAAGTGCAAGATGGTGGTCATCATTTTTAATAAGCACAATAACTACAGAATATGGGAAGAATTAGAGCTTTAACATCCAACTAAATTTGTATTTCAAAAATGTCCAAACTCAAATAAGTTAATTTTTTGCAGTACATTTCTCTGACTATTCAGTGGACATCAACTTCTACTTGTGCAGCAATACCTCTAAGAAGATATTACAGACATGCCAAATACCCTACTTCCACTGGGCACTTGTTTAAAATACTGCAGACACAATGGTCTGTACGCATGCTTACAAATACAAACAAGTGAACATGCAATAATGAAAGCGTTGTGCAAGTTAAGAAAAGTGTGATGGAGAAAGGCCATCTAGTACCATGGACAGAGCATGCCCAGTCACAGTTTTCATTTCAGTTGCAGAAATGCTGCTCAGGTCACTCAACCATTCTGAGCTTCATGGCCTGAATTGTGACTGTAATGAGGATGCTGGGCCTGCCTGTGTCTTAGGTTTGTTGTGAGAATCCAATGTTATTGTATGTGAAGCTCTTTGTAAATTAAATCAACCTGGAAATGTGGACCAACATCATTTTCAAAGGATTGATTCTGTCCATTTAAGTTTGAAGACTCTTCTCTTTCCCTACAGAAATAGATTATAAATCAGTTTCCTTTCTGTCAGTTCAGGGAAGATTTTATATTTGTGTATATGTGAATGTCTCCCCATCTATATGTTTTGTTGTTTCCTTCAGATGGAGAGACCAGGCATGAAATGAGGGAGACTACTTCAGAGCTGAGCATTTCTGTGGGAGAATCACGACAGCCAAGATACATGAGTGATGGTCACTGTGACCCCAATTTAAGAGCTATCTGTGACTCTGATATCAAGATAAAGAAAAAACAAAAGAGTCACTCTGAATTTGATAAAGATGGAAAGAGCTTCAGACAATATTCAGTCCTAATTCACTGTAAGAACATGACCTCAGGGAATGACTGTTCTCAGGATATTGAATATAGGAAATGCTCTACTGAAGAGGTAAAGGTTGTTGAGTCTCATGAAAATCCTCCTGAAGTGCAAACTTACCAATGTGAGATGGCCTTCAGCTTGAATTCAGACCTAATTAGACATCAGAAGAGTCATAGAGGAAACATGCTTTATGTCTGTAATGAAGGTGAGAAAGCCTTCAGCCATAATTCAGAGCTCATTGACCAACAGAAAATTGAGAATTCAAGGAAACATTGTAGATGTAATGAATGTGATAAAGTCTTTAAGCAACAGTCATTCGTTATACACCATCAGAAATTTCATACTACTGAAAAGCTACATAACTGTATGCAATGCGGAAAGGCCTTCAGGAGACAGTCATCCCTTATTTCCCATCAGAGAATTCATACTAGAGAGAAACCCCATGAGGGTCATGAATGGGATAAAGCTTTCAATGAAAAGTCATCCCTTATTGTACATCACAGAAGCCACACTGGAAAGAAACCTTATGAATGTAACCAGTGTGGAAAGACTTTCAGACAGCGCTCTTATCTTTCTGTACATCAGAGAATTCACACTGGAAAAGAACCTTATAAATGTAATCAATGTGAAAAGACTTTCAGACGCAGTTCCAATCTTACTAATCATCAGAAACTCCACACTGGTGAGAAATCTTATGAATGTGATCAATGTGTAAAGGTTTTCACACAGAGGGCCACTTTTACTAAACATCAGAGAATCCACTCTGGAGAGAAACCTTATGAATGTAGTCAGTGTGGAAAGGCTTTCAGAAAGAACTCCAATCTTGCTCAGCATAAGAGAATCCACACTGGAGAGAAACCTTATAAATGTAATCAGTGTGGAAAGACTTTCAGACACAGCTCCAATCTTACTGTACATCAGAGAAGCCACACTGGAGAGAACTGTTATGAATGTAATCAATGTGGAAAAGTTTTCACACAGAAGGCCACTTTTACTAAACATCAGAGAATCCACACTGGAGAGAAACCTTATGAATGTAAGCAATGTGGAAAGACTTTCACTAACTCATCTAATCTTGCTGGACATCAGAGAATCCACACTGGAGAGAAACCTTATAAATGTAATCAGTGTGGAAAGAGTTTTAGACACAACTCCAGTTTTGCTAAACATCAGAGAATCCACACTGGAGAGAAACCTTATGAATGTAATCAATGTGGAAAGACTTTTAGACACCACTCTAGTCTTGTTAATCATAAGAGAATCCACACTGGCAAGAAACCTTATGAATGTAATCAATGTGGAAAAAATTTCAGAGAGATCTCTGATCTTGCTGAACATAAGAGAATCCACACTGGAGAGAAACCTTATGAATGTAATCAATGTGGAAAGGCTTTCAGACACAGCTCCAGTGCATCTGCACACAAGAGAATCCACACTGGAGAGAAACCTTATGAATGTAATCAATGCGGAAAGGCTTTCAGACTGAGCTCTAGTCTTGCTGCACATCAGAGAATCCACACTGGAGAGAAACCTTATGAATGTAATCAGTGTGGAAAGGTTTTCACACAAAGGGCCAATTTTGCTAAACATCAGAAAATCCACTCTGGTGAGAAACCTTATGAATGTAATCAATGTGGAAAGACTTTTGCAAACAAATCCAATCTTGTTGAACATCAGAAAATCCATACTGGAAAGAAACTTTATAAATGTAACCAATGTGGAAAGAGTTCCAGAGAGAGCTCCTGGCTTGCTCAACATAAGAGACTCCACACTAGAGAAAACCCTTATGAATGTAATCAATGTGGTAAAACCTATCAGGAACAGTCATCCCTGATTGCCCATGTGAGAATTCATACTAGATATAAATCTTATCACTGTAATGAATGAGAGAAAGCATTCAAATGAAGATGTGGTGAAACAATTTTGCAGCCTATGACAATGTAGAAAGTTGGCAGGAAAGAGCTGTCTCACTTGGGTGAGAGTAGAGTAGATATCAGAAAATTCATTCTGGGGACAAGCTTGATATGAACTCAATGTGAGAAAACCTTCAGTAAGAGATCATCTCTTTATATCAGAGGATTCATAGTGGGGAGAAACTTTATTACTGCGCTAATTGGGGACATGCCTTTTGATGGAAGAGGGAAGTCCCTAAATATCAGAATATTCACGCTGGAAATAAGGCTCATAAAAGCAGTGATTGTGGGAAAGCCTTGACATGGAGGTCATACTTGACATTGGAGAAATTATGCTGGAGATAAAACTTATGAATCTAATTAATAAGTAAACCTTTTGCTTGAGCACAGATGTAGACATTCCAAATTTCATACTGTGCATAAAGTCCTATAAATGTAATGAATTTTTCTCTGAAAGACTATTATTTTTTTCAGTACATCTCAATAATATTCCATAGCATTTGTATACTGTAACTTCATCAGGCTTTCCCACTTTATTAAAATACTCATTTGTTTCCTGTTCTTTGTTGACACAATTTTGGCATAAATATTTTGGTAACTGTTTGACATTTATTTCTGTAATGATTTCTTTTGGCTGGAAGTTGGCACAGCGGATAAAATGCTACTTCTGGTGCCAAAGACCTGAGTTTAAATTCAGTTTCTGACATTTACCAGATGTGTTACTGTAGACAAATCATTTTACCTATTACTGCCTCATTTTTCCCATCTGCAGAATGTATATACTAAGGGGTGGAGCCAAGATGGCACAGGAAAGGCAGACCTCACCTGATCTCTTCCAAATTCCCCTCCAAACAACTTTAAAATAATGCTTCAAAACAAATTCTTGAGCGGCATCACCAACAAAAGGATGTGGTGAAACAATTTGCCAGTCCACAACAACTTAGAAGATTGGTAAGAAAGATCTGTCTCACCGGGGTGAAAGTGGAGTTCACTCCATTGCAGGCTATGCCCCAGCAAGCCAACTGCAAGCCTCAAGGGCACGTGAATCAGCAGGCCAGCAGTGACTTCAGAAGCTCTCAACTCACATGTGGGAAGCATGTTAGACACCTGATCAAAAAGGTACCCTTTGCTGCCAGTGGGTGCAAGATTGTTGCATTTTCCAGGGTTGCTGTCCCAGGGTGAGAGACAGCAATAGCACACTAGTGACTGCAGCTGTAGGGGAGTGGGGACCCTGGTCACTGTTTCAGGGCTGAAAAGAGTGTTTGTGGTCACTTACAGACCAGAATACAGGCCAGTAGATTACTAAATACCTCTGCTTGAATTGTACCATATTGAAAGAACTGAAAACTTATGCACCTCTCAGAACCAGTTCTTAAAACAGCAGCATGGGGGCAGCTAGATGGCGTAGAGGATAGAGCACCAGCCCTGAAGTCAGGAGGACCTGAGTTCAAATCTGGCCTCAGAACAAACACTTGACACTTACTAGCTGTGTGACCCTGGGCAAGTCACTTAACCCCAATTGCCTTAAAAACAAACAAACAAACAACAAAAAAACCAGCAGCATGAAAAACCTGAAGCTTGTGACAGTGCCCCCTCCACCCAAGGAGCAGAGACCAACTTTAACATGAAATTAAAAGTCAAGAAATAGACTAGGAAAATAAATAAACAACAAACAGAGAACGCTACCATTGAAAGTTACTGTGGTGACAGGAAAGATTAAAACTCAGAAGAAGACAACATAGCCCAAACTGCTACATCCAAAACCTCAAGGAGAAATGTGAATTGATCTCAGGCCCAAATAGAATTCCTGAAAGAGCTCAAAAAAAATTAAATCTCAAGTAAGAGAAGTAGAGGGAAAATTGAAGAAGGAAATGAGAATGATGCAAGGAAATCATGAATAAAGAATAAACAGCTTGGTAAAAGAGGCACAAAAAATACTGAAGAAAATTACACCTTAAAAACCAGAATAGACCAAATGTTAAAAGAGACACAAAAATCTACATAGAGAAGAACTCCTTAAAAAGCTGAACTGGCCAAATTGAAAATGATGTACAAAAAATTCACTGAAAAGAACTAAAAAAATCACAATGGGTCAAATGGGAATTCATGTACAAAAGTTCACTGAAGAAAATAATTCCTTAAAAATTAAAATTGGGGAAGTGAAAGCTAATGACGCCATGAGACATCAAGAAACAACAAAACAAAGTCCAAAGAATGAAAAACTGGAAGAAAATGTGAGACATCTTGATGGAAAAACAACTGAACTGGAAAATAAGAAGAGGTAATTTGAGAATTATTGGACTACCTGAAAGTTAAGATTTTTAAAAAAGGCCTGGACAGCATCTTTCAAGAAATTATCAAGGAAAACTGCTCTGGATATCTTAGATCCATAGAATAAAGTAGAAATTGAGAGAACTCACCAATCCTCTCCTGAAAGAAATCCCCAAATGAAAACTTATAGAAATATTATAGCCAAATTCCAGAGCTCCCAAGTCAAGGAAAAAAATACTGCAAGCAGTCAGAAACAATTCAAATATTATGAGGCCACAGTGAGGATCACACAAGATTTAGCTGCTTCTATGTTAAGGATCAGAGGGCTTGGAACATGATATTTCAGACAGCAAAGGAGCTAGGTTTACAATTAAGAACCACTTTCCCAGTCAAACTGAGCATGATCCTTTGGGGTGGGGATGAGGAATGGACATTCAATGAAATAGAGGACTTTAAAGCATTTCTGATGAATAGACCAGAGCCCAATTTAAAAAAAAAAAATGACTTTCAAATAGGAGACTCTAGAGAAACATAAAAAGGTAAACAGGAAAGAGAACTCATAAGGGATCCAATAAAGTTAATCTGTTTACATTGCTACATGGGAATATAATAGTTGTAACTCCTAAGAACTTTATCATTATTAGGTCAATTAGAAGGAGTATACATAGACAGAGGGCATGGCATTAAGTTAACTATGATGGGATGATATCTAGAAAAAATAAAATTAAGAGGTTAAAAAAAGAGTTGCACTGGGATAGGGGAGAGGTAAAATGGGGTAAATTATCTCACATAAAAGAACTGCATGAAATTAAAAAGGGTTTATACAAACCAAAACAATGAAGCCAAAATTAGAAGAAAATTAGGAAATGAAGAAAAAAATTTTACTTTAGTAAACTTTCTCAGATGAAGGTCTCAGAGAACTGTGAGAACTCAGCCAAATTTATATGTTCCCCAGTTGATAAATGGTCAAAGGATATGAGCAGGACCTTCTACACATTTCTGCCCAATGGACAACATGGTACAACTCCAACCCTAGGCTGAACCTCTAGGACAGGGGTGTGGAAACTGCAGCCTTGAGGCCACATGTGGCCTTCTAGGTCATTGAGTGTGACCTTTTGACTGAATTCAAGTTTTACAGAACAAGTCCTTTTATTAAGGGAATTTGTTCTGTGAAGTTTGGATTCAGTCAAAAGGCCACAACTAGAGGACTTAGAGGGTCACATGTGGCCTTGAGGTTACAGGTTTCCCACCCCTGACTTTGGCTTTTCTAAATTACCTTTCCCTGGCCCCAGTTTGTCTGAGGCAATACCCATTCAATGACTAGGCTAGGTAAAAACTGAGACAAAAAAGGACCTAATTTCCCATCATAAAAATATCAATCTGGGAGGGGAACATCCACAAAGTTTCTGGTTTGAACAGAAAACAATTGCTATTTACACTCATTCTGTGCCATCAAAACCTAAATAATGAGCCATAGAGAGCTGAGCTGTGAGGCTAATATTAGCCATTCAGTGAAAGCCACAGTGATTTGGATTTGAAGGCATAGTCAAGTAGCTCTATTTGAAACACAATAGGCTGGTCCAGAGAATCATTGGACTCCTTTAAACCCTCCCCTTTTTTGATGTCTGGTTTTTTTTTTCAGAGCTATATTTCAAGAAATAAAAAATGAAAAGCCGCATAGGACAAAAAGTAAATTGTCCCAGCTTTTAGAAAAAAAATATATAATCTCAAATCCCCAAATATCTTACAAACTATAAGCAACCAAAAATTATATTCCTATAGACAGAGCACCCACATGTAAGGATATGGTGGATAGAGGGAGCGATGAGGGCTGTAGTTGCGTGTGGCTAAAAGGGAGGCAGAACACACATCTGTAGCCCCACCTTCATCCCTCCCTTCTCCAAAAGAGACTTTCATTCCTGCTAGATACTTTTTTTTTTTTCCGAAGTAATTCTGGGGGTCTACAAGACAAAGCACTAGGACTAGTCAGGAAAACCTGAGTTCAAATACAGCCTCAGACACTAGCTGTGTCACCCTGGGCAAGTCATTTAACCCTATTTGCCTTTGTTTTCTCGTCTATAAAATGAGCTGGAGAAGGAAATAGCAAACTTCTCCAGATCCATGCCAAGAAAATCCCAAATGTGTCACAAAGAGTTGTACACAACTGAACCGACTAAACTACAATTACAAAAACATACACAATGTCATGTATTTAAAACATGAAACAAAAGTTATTATCAGTTAGATATGTTAATTCAGTCAAATGCATTTCTAAATTATCCTACATAGAAGTGGTATGGCTGGGTCAAAGGGAGAATAGTCTTGTGTTATTCAGATTTCTTTTCCTTTATATTTGAAGGTCTTTCTCCTGGTTTCTTGAAGAATTTGTTTTTTGTCATTGAAACTAATAAGTCTAACCACTATGTGTCTTGATGTTTGCAGCATTCTTTTTCTTAAGAAGTGGTCTGTGGGGGGCAGGTAGGTGGCAGAGTGGATAGAGCACTGGCCCTGAAGTCAGGAGGACTTGAGTTCAAATTCAGCCTCAGACCAAACACTTGACACTTACTAGCTGTGTGACCCTGGGCAAGTCACTTAACCCCAATCGCCTTAAAAAAAAAAGTGGTTTGTGTAGGGGCAGCTAGGTGGCACAGTGGATAGAGTCTTGGAGTCAGGAGGACCTGAGTTCAAATTTGACCTCAGACACTTGGCACTTATTAGCTGTGTGACCCTGGGCAAGACACTTAAACCTGATTGCCTCAATAAAAAGAAAAAAAAATGTGGTCTGTGGATTCTTTCAATGGACACTTTCAATTGACAAAAGTGCTGGGAAGTTTTCTTTTATTATTTCTTGTATTGTGGTGTTCAGATTTTTTGACTTGTTAAATTTGTCTGGGAGACCTATAATCTTTAAATTGTTTCTTTTTGCCCTGTCTTCTAGATCAATATGTCCATATGGAACTCATGTTTCCTTTTAATGTCATTGCTTTTTTGCTTCACTTCTACAGCAGCACTTCTTAAACTGTGGGGTTTTGGCTCAGTTCTCTACATATGTGAGAAATGAGGCCTTCATCTGAGAAAGTTTACTAAAATAAAAAATTTTTCTTCATTTCCTAATTTTCTTCTACCTTTGGCTGCATTATTTTGGTTTGTATAAACCCTTCATAATTTCATGTATTCAAAATTACCCATTTTATCTCTCATCAACCTTTATCTCTTGTTTGGTCATGGGCTTTTTCTCTACCCAGAGATCTGACAGGTAGTTTCTTCCAGGCTACACTAATTTGCTTATG